TTGGGTTGGTTTGAGGTTTGATTGTCTTCCAGGTTCTCCAAGTGTAGCAGGGGCTGGTCTTGAACTACTAATCCTTCCACCTTCACCTTGCAAGTGCTAGGATTACAGGCTTTCAACATGTCTGGTTTTCTTCCATGCAAACATTTCATGAAGTTTTATAGTTTAGACAACAAAGATAGTCTTAAATCAAGCCCCCCCCCACCCTAAAATACATTGGTGGGTACATCAGGGAGGCAGATACAATAGACTTGGGGAAGCATTTCCCCTTTTTTGGTTTTTCTAGACAGGATTTCTCTGTAACAGTCCTAGCTGTCCTGGAACTCACTTTGTAGACTAGGCTGGCCTGGAACTCAGAGATCCACCTGTCTCTCCCTCCAGAGTGCTGGGATTAAAGGTGAATACCACCACCACCCACTGCTAGGGAAGCATTTCTGTAGGCCCAAGATACTATCTGACGACAAGATGCTATCTTAGCTCTTTGGGATTCCTGGAAGCTAAGGCTAGTGTAGTGGTGTGCTAAGATAATAGATTCTAAAAGGTTCTTCTCTATTAGTCATTAAGACAGAGTGGTAGTTAAGGAATGGTGTTCTGGAAGGCTAGAACTAGCCCAAGATGAGGTCATTAACCTCCAGACCTGCAGCATTCCAGTCTCCCCAGCACTGCAGCTCTTAATTGGCCAGCCAGCCTCTCCAGACCTGGCTTTGCGGGGGTTCCATGTGCACCAGGTGCAGAAAAGTGGCCTCAATTTTTTCCTTTTGTTTCCGTTGATCTCTTCAGCGATATCAGTATCAGATATTTTTCAGGTTTCATAACATTTTGTATTTTTCTACAAAATTTTAACTCTAACTTCTCAATAAATATAAACTCTATAGAAGCTGGAGATAGAGAATTTCTGTTTGCAATTCAAGAGGCTCGACTATGTTAAACAGGAACTCTAAAGGTTACAGGCTGACTTTGTTATGGGGGAGATTTGAACCAAGGGCCTTGCAGATGCTAGGTTCTATTACTGGGCTACAACACCAGACCCTCTTTAAATTCTTTTTTCTTTGGAAGGGGCGATTTGAGACAGGGTTTCTCTGTGTAGTCCTGACTACCCTAGAACTCACTCTGTAGACCAGGATGCTCTTGAATTCCAGATCCTCCTGCCTGCTGGGATTATAGAAATGCTCCACCTCCCTGGGTGTTTAAAAAGCTAAAGTTCTACGGACTAGAAAGACTGCAAACTCAGAGATCCATCCACCTGCCTCCCGAGTGCTGGGATCAACAGCAGGTGCTGCCACCACCTGCCTGCTTACAACTTTTTAAATGTAGATTTTGTTTTGGGGTTTATTTTTTGAGAGAGAGAGAGCATTTCTCACTACAGCCAGAATGCTTTCATTAAAAACAAAAAACACGGGGCTGGAGAGATGTCTCAGTGGCCCTCTTGTAGAGGACCAGGGTTCAATTCCTAGCTCCCACATGGTAGCTCACACCTATTTGTAACTTTAAGATCTGATTGATACCCCCACACAGACATACATGCAGGCAAAATACCAATGCAAAAAAATAAAAATGAAAATTATTAAAAAAAAAAAAAAACAGACAACAAGGGCTGGAGAGATGGCTCAGAGGTTAAGAGCACTGACTGCTCTTCCAGAGGTCCTGAGTTCAATTGCCAGCAACCACATGGTGGCTCACAACCATCCGTTATGAGATCTGGCACCCTCTTTTGGTGTGCAGATATACATGGAAGCAGAATGTTGTATAGATAGTAAATAAATAAAATCTTTAAAAAAAACAACAAATGTGATGAGGTTATGGGGGAAATGGAAACTTTGTGGGGGGTTGGGGGTGGTTTTGTTTTTTGAGACAGTTTCTCTGTGAAACAGATCTGGCTGTCCTGGAACTCAATCTATAGACCAGGCTGGCCATGAACTCACAGAGATCCTCCTGCCTCTGCCTCCAATGTGCTGGGATTAAAGGCATGCGCCGCCACCACCCTGTTTTGCAGTCTTTATATAAGAAACAGAAAAGGTCTAGAGGGATAGTTCAGTGGTTAAAAGTCTGTGCTTGCTCTCCTAGAGGACCCAAGTTCAGTTCCCAGCACCTGCATCAGGGGCTCACCATCAGTTGTTACTCCAGGCAGCTCCAGGAGATCGTCACTCCTGAAATAGGCACCTGCACTCATGCACATACCCACAGAAGAGGACGAAGCAGGGGAATCTCAATTTTGAGCCTGGCTAGGCTGCAGAGCTTGGTCAAGGCAGCCTGTCTTTGCATGAGTGTGGTGACTTTGATTGACCGATGGATTGATTGGTTGATTGGTTGATTGACTGATTGATTGATTGATTGATTGGTTGGTTGCAGCTCTGCAGTGACCTAGGACCACTTGCCTCAGATTCTGTGTAGATTTTTTTTTCTTCAGGGCAACATAGTACTGTTTACCACACCTTGTCTTTCATTTATGAGTAAACCCCACATGATCTTGCTGTAAGCTTGCTTGATGATGCCAATGGGTTTGATTTGCTAGTATTTGTTTTAAAGTTGGTTGATTTTTGTTGTTGTATCATTCATTTGGTTTTTGGGGACAGGGTTTCTCTGTAACTTTGGAGCTTGTCCTGGAATTCACGCTGTAGACCAGTCTGGCCTCAAACTCACAGAGTTTGCCCAGTCTGTCTCCTGAGTGCTGGGATTACAGGCGTGTGCCACCACCTCCCAGCAGTTGTTTTATTTTTGTTTGTTTTGTTTTGTTTTTGTTTTTTATCTGACCTTCATATTATCTAGCCTCTTACAGTTATTGAGATATTTTTGATCTCTAGCATTCTGGGGTTTGGATATAACTAAGAAAACATTTTAAGGTCAGAGTTGGTAACACAGGCCTGCCTGTGTTCCCAGCATTCAGGAGGAGGCAGGTGGGGCACTAATGCAGGTTTGGTTCTAGCAATTTCTAGACCAAAATAAAACAAAGCAAAACAAATTTGCTTCAGTTTTCCAGATTAAATATGAAGATGTATTCTCTGCTTTGTTGTTTGATTGTTGGTTTTTGAGACAGGGTCTCACGGTGTATCCCTGGATGGCCTGGAATACTCTATGTAGACCAGGCTAGCCTCAGCTAAATAGATCTGCCTGCCTCACTTTACACGTGCTATGTCTTAAATGTTTAAGTTACATTTTGTCTGTGTGTGTCTCCGTGTATGCATGTATGTTGAGGCACTCATGTGGTGGTCAGGACAACTTGAAGGAGTCATTTCTCTCCCACCATACGGATCCTGGGTGAACTCATGTTGAATCTTCTATATTTTTCCTTGTGTATGTGTATTTGTTTCTGTTTTGTTTTTTGAGATAGTCACTCAGTAACCCAGGCTGGTCTATTGGAGCTTCCCTAGTGCTGATGCTAGTGCCACCTTTAGGAGATTAGGGCTACTTGAGGGAAGAAAACAAGAGAATGAGATCCCAGTGTCTTCCTCCTCGTGACCGAATGACGAGCAGACACAACCTCCACAAACATCTACCATGAGACATGCTGCTTGCTCCAGAAGGCCCAAAACATGGAACCAAAAGAACCCTTTTTTCCTTTGAGATGTTTGTCTTGGGCATTTTGTGATAGTAATGGAAACTTAGGAAGCCAAGTTGAAAGACTTGCTCCCTCTTTCCTTCCTGTTCTGACATATATATCTACATGCTAGGATATGGCCTGGCCACTCGAGATGTTTGGGTTCCATGGAAGTGGCTGTGGGTCCTCCAGGAATCTGTGATCCTTTGTCTGTTTTCTGCTTCTGTCCCTTGAGCCGTTGGTCCTCAGAAAGTCCATGATTTTTCTGGCAGTGTGAGTATGGTTTGCTGTGATGAGCAGGGTCAGTCTGGAATCCACCCCAGCTGCTGTCTTCTGAGGGGGTGTCTCAAGCAAGAAGGTAGATACTTGTGGTTAGTATAACAAATGTTTTATTTTATTATGCTGAGGGTCATCACACAAAGATCACACTCTAAATTCCTAACTATGACCCTAAGCCGGTCTCCCCAAGGCTGCTACCTCTTAGCTGAGGGTCAGGTCCAGTCTCTTAACAGTAGTCTTTGATTCTAGGGTCAGGATCCTGGGGGATCCTTAAACACAGATTGGGCCTATGGGAGTGGGGAAGAGCACTGGAGTTTACTTTGACTTCCTTTGGGAGCATCTAACATTTTGTTCCCTGCAAAAATAATGTTCTTAGGTTGACCTCAAAGCTGTTTTTTTGTTTTGCTTGTGGTATGTAATACCTTCCTTCTTATTTTTCAATTTAATATATTGTTATATTTTATTTATTGTGTATGTGAGGTCAGAGAACAGTTTGTAACACGGGTTCTGTCCTTCAATGTGGGTCCCAGGGATCAAACTTACATTGGTAGGCGCCATCACCGTCTGAGCCACCTTACTTTGTAGTCTTACAACATCTTACTTTGTAGTTCTGACTATCCTCGAAGTCACTATGTGTAGACCAGGCTGGCCTTGAACTCAGAGGTCCGTCAACCCCTCTTGCCAGGTGCTGGGAGTAAATTCACGAGCCACCATGCCTGCCTTGCCAGTTCTGTTTTTAAAATCTCTTTTTTAGACCTATTTTGTGTCTGTTACCAAGCTACTTCCCCATCCCTTGTTTGTTTTTTGAGCTGGGGTCTCACTACACCCACTGTACTCACCACCAACCTCTGGGCCCCTATCTTGGTCTCCTAATTAGATGGGACTACAGGCATGCACCCTCATGTAACAGCCCTGGCTGTCCTGGAACTCACTATGTGGATCAGGCTGGCCTCGAACTCACAAAGATCTGCCTGTCTGCCTCCCGAGTGCTGGGATTAAAGGCTTGCGCCACCACCTCTCGGCTAACATAAGTTCTCTTAAGCATGCTCATTCTTACCAAGTCTCTTGACAAAACACAGTAAGTAAATTTTCATTTGCTTATAGTTCCGGTGGCTCTTTTATTCTTTTAGGATTTTGAACTAGTTCTCTCCGGGAGAAGAAAGTGCACTCCGGTGTTAGTGCATCCACAATGTCGGGTATGCAATCAAAAGCAGCCAGGCTTCAAAAGGAGCACAAAGAAAAGCCGTTAGTAAACACCGAGAGGGAAATGGCCTCATCAGAGGATTTAAAGTACAATGACGTATCGGCAGTCATGATGAAGTTTAGTGCTTTAATGGAAATGCAAGACATGATGTTTGTAGAGATGAGAGAAAGCCTTAAAAATGATCTAAAGGAAATGCTGATAAAACGCACACCACCTGAGGTGAAGATTTCAGAGGACGGGAGAGCGCAGCAAGAAGGAAAAGATTCAGCTGCAGAACGGCCAAAGCCGGGAGAGAAAGTGGAGGAGGAAAGTTCTGGAACAGATGACACTGAAAACCTCACTGTGAAAAGCCAGGCGAAGAGCAAGCTGAGTAGGAAGCAGCCCAAAAAACAACTCAGCAGCCACCGCAGCGGCGTGAAACGCTCGCTAGAGAGGATGGGAGAAGCCAGGCGTCGTGTAGGTGACAGGTATAGAGAGAGCAGTGGAGAGGTGGGTGTTCTAGGAGAGGACCCGAAGACTGGGGAGGACGAACCAGCCAAGGAAACAAGACATCAGAATAAAGAGAACCCCCTAAATGCCTCTGGAGGGGGCAGCACGCCACAAGAGGGAGCCATCCTTAGGCTGGCTGCTGACTTCTCCTCAGCAACGCTGGATATCAACAAGCAGTGGGGCCGCATCTTCCGCCTTCTAAAAGAGAAGGAGCTGGAACCTGAGCTGCAGTGCTCAGTTAAGTTAGCCTTTAAATGTGACGGAGAAGCAAAGACCTTCTCAGACCTTTCCAGCCTCCGGCAGTTCACCACCACAAAGCCTTTTCTGAAAGAGCTGCTGAAAGATGTGCTCCCACAAAACGAAGCAAGAAATGGGCTTCAAGAAAGATTGGTAAGCATGTAATTCTTTAAAAGGCATGATGTGGAATTTTTAATTTTAGCGCTGTACCTTGGGAAACAATGTGCTGTTGCAAGTTTGAGAGATGAGATGTTTGATGGGGGTTCCAGAAATTGATAGGAAAACATGTTAAAATTTAAGGTTGAACGCTAGGAGTATCTTTTAACTTGTTAAAAGGGGCAAATGAGTGGGCACAACCAAAGCTTTAAGCAGTGGGAATAGCAGTGAAACTATCAGGTGTTAACTGGGTTTAATTTTCTTTCTAAAAAGTATTACATATGTGTTTTGCCTGCATGTACATCTGTACATCATGTGACTACCTTGTCTGCTGCCCTCGGGCCAGAAGAAAACATCAGATCCCCATAGAGCCCACCCCATGTGGGACCTGCGAACCGAACTTGGGTCCTCTGCAAGCGCTCTTCAGCTATCTCTTGAGCCCTTACACCATCTTTCACCCCATCACTGCTGTCTACACTAAACGTCTCACTTAACCTGAGTGGGTTTATATTATTGACTGCTCAGATTTCCTCTCCTATAAAGTACCTGTTCAAGTCTTCTGTTCATTTGTCTTACATTGCTTATTGATTTATAAGTCTTTATATATTTTTAGATTACTATTTAAGGGTAGTATCAGCTGCAAGTACCATCTTCACAGACACAGGGTCTTGCTATGTATCCCAGGCTGGCTTCACAGTTACTTTTTTCCTCAGTCTCCTTGGTGCTGGAATTGTAGATGTGTACCACCGCACCTGCTCTGGACTCTCTTTTTTTTCTCCTGGCACATTTGCATTTATTGTAGAGGATATCTATCATGCACGCTGGTGGTACCATTTCATCAGCAAAGGGGATCCCATGGCCGGGTCTCCTTAGCCGTGAGATTTTATGAGTAATCTGGCTGGTGTGTGCCATAGCTCTGTGGTTTTGGTTTGCATCTCCGTATTAGTAAATCTTAGTTTTAAGGTAGATTTTGTGGACATTATGTTTTTTTTTTCATATTGAGGTTTTTTAAAAAGTTTTTATTAATTTTCATTTTTATTTGTATGATGTTTGGCTTGCATACATGTATGTACACCATGTATGTGCTTGGTGACTGAGGAAGACAGAAGCAGTGTCAGGTCCCCTGGGACTGGGGTTTTAGATGGTCATGGGCTTTCATGTGAGTGGTGGGAATTGAACCCAGGTCTTGTGCAAGAACGAGTGCTCTTAACCTCTGAGCCATCTCTCCAGCCCCTCCTATTGAGATTTTTAACACAGATAGAATTTGTACCACTTTGTGTAAGGTTGGACTCAAACTTCAGTGTCCAGTTACTCAGTTGCTCACTTTTCTATTTTTTATTTGTTGTTGATTTTGATAAAGGCTCTCATTATCCCAGATTCTCCACCCTAGTACCTCCATCTCTGAAGTGCTGGGATTACAGGCATACTACTATGCCCATCTTTCGGTCACTGTCTTAAGAGTATAGGGCTGTGATGTAGCTCAGTTGGGAGGGTACATACTTAGCATGCACAAAGGCCTGGGTTCAATCCCCAATACCACATAAGTCAGGCATGGTTCCCATGAATGGTGCGAATGATGGCTGAGGTATGAGGATTGACATGGCAGCCATGACTATTGGCGACCCTATCACAAAAAACAAGCAAACCAGAAAAAAAAAGTTAAAATTGTGGGCTGGCAAGATGGCTCAGTGGGTGCTGGATGGCCTAAGTCGATACCCAGGGTCTACATGGTAGAACAGAGAACTAACTCCTTAGTGCAAGCATCCTTCTGATATCCATATGAATGTTGTGGCACCACACACACATGAGCACACACACAAATACGTTCAATTGAAGAGAAAAGGTTAGGTTAAATTGCTTTCGTATTGGAGGGAAAGTTAAATGGCCATTCAGTTGAATCTGGGTTACCAGGTCTTAATTCTCTAGGGTCCTGCTAAACATAAATAGCGGATCATTAAATGTGCTTAGTCAGAGCAGTCACGGTCTTGTGAGAATTTGTTCTGAATACTGCAGAAGAGGCAATTTGTTAGGCTCATTATAGGAAACAATCTGTTTGGGGTTCCATGTCTTTGAGAATAGGTGCCTGGATGTAGGGGGTCTGCCACTATTGGTGTGGGCACAATACTCACTTACCATGCACAAGGCCCTGAGTTTAGTCTTCACTACAGGAAAAATTAAATAATATTTAAGCAATTCCACAGATAATTGTTCATTGTTATGGAAAGCATACTAAATTTAGAGGGTGAAATAGACGTTTTAATTCATTGAAAAACATGACTTAAATAACTTTTTTAAACTTCTAGGGAAAAACTCTAGGAGACACAAAGCATGAAGCTAGAAGAATAGCATGTGATAGTTTGAGCTTCCTATTCATCAACGAGGTAAAAGTTGCTAGTCCAAACATGAAGACTTACGAAGAAACGTTGGAGCAGAAGGATAAAGAAGCTCTCAAGCTGGAGAGACAGGAGGCTTCGGGGGCAGAGGAGGGAGAAGAGACTTCAGAGGGAGAAGCTTCAGAGATGGGGGAAGAAGAGGATTCAGAGTTGGAGGAGGAGGAGGAGGAAGAGGGGGACTCAGAGTTGGGGGAGGAGGAAGAGGAGGACTCAGAGTTGGGGGAGGAGGAAGAGACCTCGGGGGAAGAGGAGGAGCATTCAGAGATAGGGGAGGAGGAAGATGCCTCTGTACTCCATGAAACACAAGACTCAACTTTTCAGGGCCTGACTGTGGTACAAGAGCATGGAGTTGAGAAAATCACCAGGAGTGATGAGATTGGTTTAATTAGTTTGATAGTAGATTCTGAAACAGACGAAGCAAAAGGAAATTTAAAGAAGAATTCCCAGACCAAGAAAAGGGAGACCTTCCATGGACTTAGAGAACTTGCCTTTAGCTACTTGGTTTGGGACTCTAAGGAGAAAAATCTGGTCAAGTGCCAGGAGGGAGGAGCAGCTGCCGTGACTAGTCAGGGGATTGGGATACCCTGCCTAACCTTGTACTTAACTTCTCCATCAGAATCCCTACAGATAGGCAGTGATGGTCCAAAAAGCCATTCACATTCAAACCTGAGTATTCCATCACAAGTCACTCCACTTTTAATGAACATGGAGAAAGGGAGATACAAGATCCCGCCAGTAGCAGAGCCAACAGCCAAAGACGCAGACTTGATCCGTGACACTGAGGAAAACTTCAGAAGAAGTGTGATCAGTACTATCAGACAGATGCAGAGGGAGGTTGAAAATATTAAAAACCTTTACTTCTTTGATGTCTTAAATATGAAGAGTTCAGTGGATGATCTGAATTCCTTAGCGTGCATGATTGAGGCAAGAGTGAATGAGCAAGAAGAGGCAGTGGAGGGACTCACCAAGGAGACAATGCAGCTGGCCAAGGAGATCGTTGATAAAGAAAGGCTGAGAGAGAGGGAGGATAGATTGCGCAGCTCCAACATCCGAGTGATAGGAATCCCAGAAAAAGAAAACCGGGAGAATGGAGCAGAGGACATAATTAAGGAAATAATAGAAGAAAACTTTGCCGAGCTAGAAGACTCGAGTCTCGAGATTGTCAGTGCTCATCGAATCCCAAATGCAGTGGATGAACACAGACTCACACCCAGACACATCTTGGTGAAGTTTTGGAGTGCTGGTGATAAACAGAAAATCCTGAAAGCTTCTAGAGCAAAAAGAGAAATAACCTACAGAGGGTCAAAAATCAGAATGACAGCTGATTTATCACCTGGCACTATAGATGCCAGAAGTCAGTGGTCTGGGATCATAAAAATTCTGCAAGAAGAAGGCTTTCAACCGAGAATCCTTTATCCTGCCAAACTGGCGTTTGATTTTAAGGGTAAAACTAAAGTATTTTTTGATATTGAAGAATTTAAGAAGTTTGTTTCTGATATACCATTTTTGAAAGAAGCGTTGAACAATGTACTTTAGCAATCTGGAGTGCTTTCTGTCCGCCAGAGTACATCCAAAAACCAAGTAAAACTGGACAGTAAACCATCACATCTCTGTCCAGAAGGGTGGACAGCTGTTTTTGTTGTTTGTTTGTTTGCTTGTTTGTTTGTTTTTTCAAGGAAAGGAGGAAGCAATTCACTACCTGAATGTTGGTTGAGTTAGCATATATGGCTTTTTAAAATAGCTACCTACCCTGGTGAGGAGGGATCTTCCCAGTGCAAGCACACACAGGGCAAAGTACTTGAGGCCACAGTCGGATGGGAAATGACAGAATAGAATAGCCACAGTCTGACTGAATCAGCACATTACTCTATCATTTGCCATGATGTGAGTTTTTATATTAAAACTTGACGTTTGAACTATGCCGTTTGCTTACGTATTCTTCCTACTCATATTTTCAGAAGTCCCCTGCCATTGCTGTATACTGTCTAAGAACCTTTATACTTCATTGCTTCAAGCCATCCATTGCTGGAGTCTTGTGTGACAGTGTGTGTATAGATAGTCCTTCTGAAGTGGGGAGGCACTAAAGAAATCAAAGAGATAGAAGTGGAATGCTTTGTTTTGCAATGGTCTCCAGCAGTCCTAATTGTCCTTGAGTCCCTCTGCGTAGGACTACCGTCCTGCTTCAGCCTGCCAAGTGTTGGAATTTCGGACTTTTTGTGGGATGAGGGAAAATTCTATGCAATGAAAATTGTGTCTAATCCTGGGCCAAGTTAAGACCACTGCTCAAGCCCTGCCATCCCTGTGAGGTTGGGAAGTCTACAGGAGATAGTGCCAGGCACTCCTGGTTTTATTTTTTGCCGCACTGGGACTGGGATCAAAAGCCATTAACTCTTGCTGTGAGTCCACTCAGACCTGACGTAAATGTCTAGGGTAAAATGGAAGCAATCGTCCTTGCTGCTATGTTGTCTCTCTATTTAATTTTTTGTTTTTATTTTACACGTATGGATGTTTTGTCTGCATGTGTGTTTGTGCACCATGTGTATGCCTGGTTCCCTGGGATGCCCTGGGACTGGGGTTACAAAAGATTGCAAGCCACCCAGTAGGTGTCAGGACTTGAACCCAGGTCCTCTGGAGGATCAGGAAGTAACATAACCACTGCTTTGTCTTAAGGAGGAAATTACCTCCTTGTCTACCGTTAGATGGACCACCATAACAGATTATCCCAAACTTGATGGTTAATAACAGATTAAGGGGCTGGAGAGGATGGCCTAGTGGTTAAGAGCACTGGATGCTATTCCAGAGGACCTGGGTTTACTGCTAGTACCTACGTGGATATTCACAACTATCTGTTAACTCCAGTTCCAGGGGATCCAGTGCTCTCTTCTGATTTCCAGGGGTCCAGGCACTAGTATGGTGGTGCATGGATATAAATGCAGACAAAGCACACATACATGTAAAAATCTTAAAAACAATCTTGAGCCTAGGGATCAGAAACCAGCCAGGGCAAGATAGGGAGACTGTCTGAAACATAAAAGTATATCAGGCCTTCAAACTATAAAAGTGAACCAAGAGCATAGGCCTGTGGTCCCCAACCTTATGGGAGGTGGATGGCATACTCAGCCAGTCCAGGCCACAGGTGACAACCCATCTCCCACAATAGTAAAAGGAAACAGGACATGTGCTCCAATGTGAGCCTTTGTTTTGTACAAGACGTGAAAGCCAATTTTATGCTGGTTTTAAACGATGTTTACTTTTACCATCTTGTTAGAGTTCTTCCAGAGTTGGCTCCACCCTGGGCCCAGGTTTAAAGCTGGTGGCAGAGAACCTACTTATAATGCATACCTGTATACAATTCCAGCACCAGGAAAAAGGACGCTCATGAGATTTCAATCTTGGGCTATCAGTATGATTTGATTGTGAAAACAGGAGTAATGTCCTGAGTTCCACAGCCTACCCCAATGTCATCCCTGGGGAGTTCTGAGTTACTTCTGGTGACACTGGGTTTGCCAGCCACCCTTCCTGTCCTTGGTGCCTTAATTGGCCACAGAAGCTTAAGCAGTGGGAGCAAGATTGCGTGGCTGTTCTCCCCCTACCAGAAATCTTGCTGCCTGACTGGGACTGTGGTCTTTAAAAGCTCTTAGCTTTGTAGATGAGGAAAAGGCTTCCTAAGCCAAATCCTAGAAGAATGGACTCAGTAACCGGCTGCCTTGCTGGCCCAGGATAGGCTGTTTGGGACAGACTCACTGTTAGCCTTTACACACACACAGAGAGAGAGAGAGAGAGAGAGAGAGAGAGAGAGGGAGAGGGAGAGAGAGAAGGAAGGTGGCAAAGCCATATGCACTGAGGTTGATTAGTTTCTGGTTGAAAGTTCACTGACTCCAGGAAACCCACTCACACATAGGTTTGAGCCTCCAGAGACACCCTCATCTTTGGGTTTTGCAAAGTGATCTGCCAGACCGGAGCAAATGCAAAGACCTTAGACCTGCAGACTCCAGTGTAGGAAGTGAGATTGAGCAGAGATGCTCTCTGGGTCTTTGGTGATGATCACATCGTGAGTCTCACCATGGAGATGTGCTGGGTGGGAGGCACAGGAGTGGCATTGATGACCCCTGTTATTTTGATCATTTGAGATACACAGCAGACAACATTCAGGGTCTTCTGTGGATGGATGCCTTCAGCAGAACCAGTGTGCTGCTGTCATTTCCGGTGTGTCTTGACTGAGTCTTTCCTGCCCGAAGACCCAAGCATCTACAGAAAACCTCTCAATCTGAATTCTTCCTGTGGTGCTGTCTTTTATGGCCACTAGTTGGAAGGCAAGGCCATATTCTTTCCCTTGGTCTTTTTGTTTTTTTATCTGTAATGTTACTCGTCAGATCCAGCTTTATGAGCTGCATCTCTAACCTCAAAGGCCAAATCTTTAATTCAACATGAAGGCTTCCAGATATAGGAAGTTTATAGGGGTTTGTTTGTATGACTAATTTTATTATCAACCTGCCACTGATAGAAATGAAAACCCAACAGGTCCTTTACAAGCAAGTTGAGAAGCACAAATACAACAACTAGTTCTAGGGCAAGGTAGTGAATGAAAACGCATCAGGAGTGGAAGTAGGGCCCCCACCCCCTCTAAAAAAAAAAAAAAAATCTCAACATGGATTGGGAGGTAAAGGCTCCAAATCCCAGGCTAGAAACTAAATGACAAAATAAAACAAAAATCTGAAATGGCTGTGGTGGAGGCAGAGGGGTTAGGTCTTCCGTCTCATATACTGTGAGTTGAAGGTCAGTCTGGGGCACATGAGTCCCCTCAGGGAAGAAAAATTAAAACTGCAACCAAGCACTTGCAGATTAGGAAGTCAAATGTCACCCACTGGGGTCTCCAGGAACCTCCCTATAGAGTCAGGAATATTGTGCTTTGCCTTCTCTGCTTTGGTTCCCATTTGTGGAGGTAGGTAGAGTAAGCCTCCTCAAGGCTTCCAGAGCTTCAGGGAGTGGGGGCGACGGTGTCTGGGGGCATCCTTCCCGAGATACCAGGCTCTCCTTGCGATGGAGAGGTACCTTGTGCTGGCACTCGAGGCTGGCAGGCCAAGAGGGCCACTGCGGGGTGAAGTTTGGTGTGTGCTTGCAGGTGTGCTGCCACTTTGGCTTCTGCTAGTCCTTGCACCCGAGGGACCAAGTCTCAACTTCCTCCTTTCATGTTGAGGCTAGCAGCCAGGACCATGCCTCCTGGTTTGGATCAGGGTCCATCTTGAAGTGTCTCCTCAGCTCCTGGTGCTGCTCCCAGGTGTGACTGCAGAGTCGCTTCCATTCTGACTGCAGCTCGTGAGACTCAGTTCACATGTTTTTCAATCTTTAGGCTTTTTGAGACATGGTTTCACTATGAAACCCAGGCTGGCCTGGAACTCACTGAGATCTGCCTGGCTCTGCCTCCTGAGTACTGGGATCAAAGGTGTGGACCACCATGCTGGGCCTAATACATAAGAAAGGAAAAGAAGAGAAAGAGAATAGAGGATAGTAAAGAAAAGGTTTTCTAATTGTATGTATGTTTGCCATGATGCCCATGCAGAGGTCAGAGGACAAGTTTGTAGAGTCAGCTATCTTTCCATTTCACATGGGTTCAGGGGCTCGAACTCATAGTCTTGAACAGCAAACACAATTACCCCTGAGACATCTCAATGGAAAGTTCCAGGAAAGGCTTTTTATGGATGACATTTGTTGCACCTGCCATCCTAGAGAACATATTTTTAAAAGCTTTAATTAGTCACGAGTTCTAATAGTAGGCAATGTGCATTTACTAAGGCAAACACCTGGTAACAAAATGTGTTGAGATATTTCTAAAATTCACATGCAACATCGGACACCCCTAAAGCACTTCCATCAAAGCCCTCCTATAACACTGCTGTCAAAGCCCTCTTAATGGCTTGTGCACATTCTTAGGAATATGTGCAACGTGTACACACACAGGCACACACACGAGAAAGGTGAGTGTGGGCTTCTCACAAGACAAGACTGATTTTACACACCTTAACGATAGTTATATTTGGAGAGTAGTGCTGCTCTCAGTGGATCTTAAAAGATAAAAATATGTGCCATGCCAGGTGGTAGTGACACACTCCTTTAATCCCAGCATTTGGGAGGCAGAGGCAGGTGGATCTCTGTGAGTTAGAGACCAACCTGGTCTACAGAGCGAGTTCCAGGACAGGCTCCAAAGCTACACAGGGAAACCCTGTCTCGAAACACACCCCTCCCAAATGTGTGTGTGTGTGTGTGTGTGTGTGTGTGTGTGTGTGTTAAAGAAATGCTCTTTAATTAGTGAGATTAGAAGCTGTCTTATAAGGTGCATTGTCTAAATTCACAGCTTCATAAGAACATCAGTCAAAGAAGAGGTTAAATGAAGTCTTCCACATGTCTCAAAGCACGTGTTTTTATTATAAATTTAGTTCATAATCTTGTGAAATTTCCACAGGAAAGTGCAAGTTCCCCATGAGAAAGGAAATGTTAAATTCAAATGTCTGCACTCTGACATTAGCATGGTTCATCCCTACTTTAATATTCTTATTCAAAATCCTTTTCTCTATACAAGAAATCTTCATAGTGATTTGTTGTTAGTCGTGTCAAAATTTTTTTTTTCTCCTTCAGGGGTGTTTATTTCCCAGTTGGAAGAGAATCAGGGACAGGGTCCTCTGCCTGTCAAGGCCTGGGCCTGACACATGGTATCCACAAAGACAAAAGCTCCCAACTGTGTCCCATGTTTGTTCTGTCCAGGAAGGGCTTGCCCAGGGATGGTGGCACTGAGAGCCGTGGCATAGGCATCAGGCCAGCTGGCCCAAATGGAGTCAAAAGAATACTGGCATGCCAAATACAAGGTTCCAGGTCACAGGGTCCAAATGAAGCTCTGCCATTGGCTTTGTGCCCAGGAGCTCTC